AAATGTTTGACGCTAATTGGGTCATGATTTAAGATTAATTTTAATGCACTAACTTGATTAGTTTAAAATATTAACTACTTTTACACACCAGTAGCTTTAGTGTCAAATAAACTACTGTGTAAATTCTCCTGTCCAGATCGCAAAGCTGATCCAGTTGGCTGGGAAGAGATGACAACAGTTGGTATGGTGGGAAGCAAGCAGCAAAATCCCATGGTGCCGTTTCCATGGCAACTATGATGCTTTGCTAATGGCAAGGGAGTCTAAACGTCAGGCCCTCTGTGGCAGTCTGTGCATGTGTGTGTGTTACGTGAGGAGAGAGAAAGAAAAGGAGAGGGGGAGAAAACGACAGACAGTGAGCAGATTGGCTCAGTGTGCCTCTCACAGGAGAAACTGAATGGCGGGAGGTGAAGGACGACCACGCATTAAAGAAAGGCAAATAAAATTACTGTATCATAAACAACATTGCAACTCCCTCGCCGTGCAACCAAATTGCCACTAATATTATAATTGCAGCCTACGTATTTTCAGTAACCATGTAAAGTAAACTGGAATTAATGTAATACACTACAAGAAGCAAAAAGACGAAGCCCATTTCCTGATTTATCTGAGGGTGAACTCTGCAAGATTGCAGCTGCGACTACAATAGTAACTATGTCAGTTCCACAGGGAGCTGTGAGCTCTGCATACAGTCAGGGAAGTCAGCGTGTGATCCACGCTAAATAAAAGACGCTCTGACCCTACATACACAAACAGAAGTGCTTTGAAAATAGACCAGCTGTAGGATTACAGTAAGAAATTGGGACTTAAAATACATCTGGTAGCTAGGCTGCTTGTAATAATCTAGAGCATGTGTGTTTTAAAGTACATTTGCATGCTAGCGTGTTGTCTGGCACATTATAACACAGCCGCAACTGCAGAAACTGCCCTCATGAAGAGGGTCACACACTCTTAAAAATAAAGGTTCTTTATTGGCATCTACGGTTCCATGAAGAACATTTAACATTCATGGAATCTTTCCATTGTACTAAATTGTTTTTCACAGTAAGAAAAAAATGGTACTGTTCACTGAAAGCTCTTTTGGGGAACCCAAAATGACTCTTCTGAGGCATCCCTGTGAAAACCCCCTTTTGAAAGCTTTATTTTTAATAGTGCAGAACACTCTTTCATTCCTAAGCCAGATCAAGACCAGTCATCTCTTTTCCAACACCTCCTGCGTGTGTCATTTGTTCTGAAGCCGGGTGGCGGGATGTCTGGCATAGCACTGTAGGGCCACGAGGTTGAGGACGAGTCTAATTACATTCAGGGTCTAACAGCAGTGCTCCACATGTGTTCTCTGGTCTGAATTTCAATAGCAAGTAGAGAGAGAAATGGGCTTTCGAATCTAGCACACTTAAATTAGGCCTCAGCGTTGAGAAACTGCCAGGAACGAGGCCTACAGAAACAATCCGTCATATGCAAACTCTTCAAATGCTTTCAAAAGGAGAGCAACCAAACCAAAGGCAAATCTTTTTTCCTGAAACGAATGAGACCTCTCCCAAGACCTTTTGCGGAATCGCCAATTAATTAAGGTGATCGGTACATCTGCTCTGCTAAATGGCATTCAGCAACAATCGATATTGGCTGTACTCAAGCACATGCTGCGGTTTCAGACGAAGCTGAATAATACATAAGGTCTACCCCACCTACAGTTGTGTATCGGCATTGTGCCAAACGCAATGCAATGCATCTCTCTTTCTCTAGTGCATAATGTTATATGCTTTACGATCAGCATTCTCTCTTACAAAACAATTTTTTTGTAAGAATTTAATAGAACTAAAAATTTCCCTTTAGTGAGTATTAACGACTGATGGATTGTGGCGACTTGCAGTAACAATAATCTTAGTCACTATGGTATTTTGAAACTATTTATGCGCATTTCACAAATAAATCTCCATTGTGACTGAAGCAGTCAATATGTGGTCCACAAAGCACATCATCACAATCAATCCATTCCTCCCCACTTATGCAAATTTGTTGCAGTACACCATGTTTAGGAGAGTACTGTGGTGTTTTTGTTGAGTTAGTGTTTCACGATAAAAGTAGTTACATCCAAAGGGCCTTTAACCCCATTGTACCCTATCATACAGAACTGTAGCTATATATGAGGGGTAAATCAAATATATGTATATTTGGTTCAAATTTGATTGATGGAATAATATGTTAAAATGATAATACTGAAAAGCTAGAATTTGTTATACACAAACTGGTCTAATGAAGAACACAAATATTAGATTTTTTTAAACATCTATTTCGTTATAAAAAAAAAATGAAAATGTTCTATTGTGATTGCTTTGGATTTAAGACAATGTCACAATTTAAAGGCCCCAAATGCAAAAAAACCCCGCTCCATTTCTATACTTAAAATGAGTGTCCAAAACAACAAAAGAGCTGAGTGGATGGTAAGTGACCCGTTTAAAATGTTCATCATCCGCTTTCATATTCTCTAAAGAAAAGCATAGCATACAGTAGAATTCGCGTTAGTATTTCATCCAAAACTAAAACACCGAACTCTATGAGGTCACGTGACCCGGCAGAAGCTCCAGCCAGGCAGAGATGGAAGCGGCTCTCCGCTGTGCTGCTGCGCTACTCTCTCCTGTTTAAATCGCGTTGGCTCGAGGTTTCAGAGCACATCACCACTGCAGCAACCCCCACCCTCCTCCTCTGCCACCTGCTTCCACATGCACGGCTACAGGAACTCTGCATCCCTGCGCATAGAGCAACTGCTGCAGCATCCCTTCAGCGGACTCGCCACCGGCATGTTTTAAACACCCAGCACTCTAAATTAATGATCCAATGGAAACTCCACGACCGACGTCTTCTATTACAGAGTAAACGACCTCATCGCTGCAGTAAGCACTGATTGTGACCGTAAATCGAACGCTTACGGTCTTTATAGTGCATATAATTACCCAGCAAGCGTTGTAAACACGTTTTGCCAAGTCGTGGAATGCGATAACATTTAATCCTACGACAAATGTAGAGATGCTTAACGTAATAAGTTTTCACAACGTAGCACAAACATTGGTTGCTAGCAAGTGCTCTTCCGCGGTTTTAGGGGCAGATACTATATATAGGCTACCTTCTTAAAAATGTTAGCTTACACCTAAATGTCCTCAAGACATTATTCTCACGAGGTATTTTCAAAACTTTTCAGACATCCTGAGGTAAAAGTGTTACCTCAGAAACCTGTCCTCCTGTCAAACTCTCTGTGCGTTCGCAGCTCGTTTTCGTTTCAACCATTCAAACATCCATTCTTCCATTCACAAAGACGAAACGATATCAATAATCACAATGAAATGTTTGTCATTTTTTTCACACATATCTGCCACTGAACTAAGTCAGTTTGTAGGCTAAGCTGAAAAAAAGACGTTACGCGTTCTGACGTCTCATTGAAATGTAAAGATTAAAACATTCCATGTTGGATTTTTTTATAGTAAAGAACCCTTATTGACGTTCTAATATTCGTGGTGTGGTTTCTTGGACTTTCTTCAGTGTGACGTTACCTGACTGCAACGTTGTGACGTAAACTGTTTGGTGCTTGCTGGCAACCTGCTTCCATTAGTAGCGCTTTAAAGAAGAAAAATTCTGTCATTAATTACTCACCCTCATGTCGTTTCAAACCCGTAAGACCTTCGTTCATCTTCGGAACACAAATTAAGATATTTTTGATGGAATCTGAGAGCTGTCTGAACCTGCATAGACAGCAACGCAACTGAAATGTTCCCAAGTCCAGTCCAGACTGAAAGTGTTTACGTCCAGCAGATATTCTCCAAAATGGCACCAGGGTGATGTGGAGGAGACGAATTGTTGAATAAAGTCTTTTTTTTTTTCTTTTGCGCACAAAAAGTATTCTCGTAGCTTCTTATAATTGAAGATGAACCACTGATGTCACATGGATTATTTTACAGATCTCCTTGCTACATTTCTGACTTGGGAACATTTCAGTTGCGTTGCTGTCTATGCCGGGTCAGACAGCTCTCAGATTCCATCAAAGATATCTTAATTTGTGTTCTGAAGATGAACGAAGGTCTTACATGTTTGAAACGACATGAGGGTGAGTAATTAATGACAGAATTTTCATTTTTGAGTGAACTAACCCTTTAAGAAGGCCTGGCTCAGCCAATTGTAATTATTGATAAGGACGTCGGTAAAAAAACTCTCAGTCCCTTCCTTCAAAACAACGGTGTTCCCAGCATCCCATGCAGCGCGCATTACTGAATCTGTTAATACGTTTTCTAAGCCGTTTCATAACAAGAATTCAGTTAAAGCCCGCTTTAATCCACCTCGCTCACCAGCCTGTGGCCTCCATGAGCAAAAACAGCAGCCATATCGACACAGATGAGGATATAACAGGTGCCAAAACACAAACAGCATACCATTACAGCTTAAAAATAACGAATATCACAGACGGCACGTTAACGCGCTCTGAATATTAATTACACCCACACTGCTGTACATCTATGGGAATTAATCCATGTATGGCTGCGTCGCGTAACATCTACCCACCAGTCATATTTACATATCAAAACCCGAATCCATATTGGGAAATCTCGTTTAATAACACAAGACTTATGTTTAGTATGTCCTCTAGGCGAGAATTATGAATCTAACAGCATATTCTGCTAGGAGAAAAGATGCATTCCCTTATTTGGCGAGTCATTGTTGCAGGCCGGCGTGTTGATACACTGTCATTTGGCACTGCAAATAAACGCAGCGACCACTGTGTAATAATAGTACGCTGGGAAAATGAATTCTGACGTTATGTGTGCGATATTTTGTCACTCTAAAGCGAAGCTGGCAGTGATGAATCTGACTGGCATGTCAACAAAAGACAGGGTGATATTCCTCCAGGCAATATCTCTGGCTTTAGTGCATTTGATCAAGAAATCAATTCTCATATGACATCATCTCATGCGCGCTAAATAAAACATGCGTTCAATACACTCTATGCAGATGCTTACCAGTTTTAAAACTGTCTCCACGATATCTCTGTTGCTAACCTCCCCGACTTGGATCAAACCGATTAGCACGGCGAATTTCATCTTGATATTCCGGATCGGAACCGAGGGGTTTATCACCCCGGCCGGTAGAACCACGGCGCCCGATCCAGACACCATCATGTCCCCGGTAACGGAGCCCGTTACGACTTGCTGCCCCGAACCAGGTGGTGCTGCTGCTGGTGTGGGGGCTTCTCGGTCCGTGAGCGAGGCGGAACCCGGTGCCAAAACCGGTTTCTCGCTCGACATTTCCGACCCGAATCCCAAAAAGGAGCGGTCGCCTCGGTCTCACCTGCTTTTGTATCACCGAGCACTGAGCAGCAGCATCAAACACAGATGAAAAAGGAAAATTCTCGATCAGGTGTCCTCCTCCGCCGAGATCTGCACATCCAAACCCGATGCTCGAGGCCGTTCAGAGGGATGCACAGGACGAAATCACGTCTTGCGTTTGGCGAAACGGTCCCTCTCTCCTCCCGATGTCAGCCGAAGATCGGTGCGGTGTCGGGCTGTGTTGTCTTTCTCAGGACGCCATATTGACGCCCCCTGTCTGCGGGAGCGCTCACCACGCCTGCGTGCTGCTGCCCGCCTGTCAATCAAAAGCTGGGAACCAAGCAGGAGCACGTGCGCGCGTCCCGCTAATTGGTGTCCCAGCATTATGCAAATCAGATTAATGTAATGTAGACTATAAAATTATAGCGGGATTATTTTGGACCGTTAAACAGTTGTAAATAATGCCTTTGTCCAGTGATGTAATCATAATGTGACGTGCTCTCTGACTCTTTCACATACCTTGAATAAATATTTCTCAGGGTTTATTTTTGAAATCCATGTTCCATATAGACGCATGCATTAAAGTATTGGCTGCCATGAAACAACTGTAACTGACCATGAAAAAAGGAGAAAAAAAATGTTTGTTGTGAACACACCTTTTGTTGATAAATATATAGCCTACTGTATATGTTATAAAAATAATTAGGCTATATATGTGATCCTGGACCACAAAACCAGTCATAAGGGTAATTTTTTAAAATTGAGATTAGGATAGGACAATATTTGGCTGAGATAAAACTAAAATCTGGAATCTGAAAAAATATTGCGAATACATAATTACATTTGATTATTACTAATCAAAAATTAAGTTCTGATATATTTACGGTAGGAAATTTACAAAATATCTTCATGAAACATGATCTTTACTTAATATCCTAATGATTTTTGGCATAAAAGAAAAATCGATAGGCTAATTTTGACCTATACAATGTATTTTTGGCTATTGCTACAAATATACCCACAGCATGCTCTCCTCGCTCTTCATCATCATCACACGTGTAAAAACCCACATTCTGCCTGTTGAAAGCTTCCTGGAACATGATGGTCCCCTGACAATTAGTGTGTGTGTGACTTGGGTTTTCTTTTATATGTCTGTATTAGCAGGCCATGGATTGTGGAATGAAGGTTATATGGCTTTTTTCTGATTTTAAGGGGTTTTGAGGAGCAGATACAGTGGCTATCTTTCTGCTACACTGAAAGATGTATGAATGCCATTGCATTAGATAACAAAAGGTCAAACCAAGTGGCATTTATTTTACAGAAATACATCACAAGCACACTTTAAGCAAAATATTCCACATAAAGAAATGTTCTCGCCCTCATGTCACTTGGAGAGTTTCCAAAAAGCATTGTTAGATAGCTGTGGTCACAATTTCTGTCATTGCAAACATAGTTCAACAATGTTTAGGCATTAGGTGTATTTTGTGTGTGTGTGTGTGTGTGTGTGTGTTTCCTAAAAGCAGTTTAACAGATGCTGGTTATGTCTTGGTGTGTGTGAGTTTAGCAGGTTTCCAGTCTGGTGATGGGACGTAAAGCTCTGAATGCAGACTCAGCCTCCTGTCAGCCATTGTATTGGCTGAAGACTCTTCCTCACTATCCAGCTGCTGGTCCCTTCTGTTCCCCTCCTCCTCTGAGCAGAGCCCATCCCCCTCTCCACCCCTCCTCCTCTCCCTCACTCCATATATTCATCTCCCCTCCACTAAAAAAGGAATTGTATCTCTCTTTACATTTTTTATCCATGGGCTGGGATTGCTGGTAAAGAGAGATAGAAAAGGGACTTAAGGAAATTAGGAAATTATCAGCAAGAGAAAGTCAAATAAAACTTCACATCAAACCTTCAAAACACCTTAAAATTCTTTCTATACCCATGAATGGTCTATACATCTGCAAATCAGGTTTTTAAAAGTGTTATAGAATTCTAAATGAGAAGCTGAATGGTAAGTGTGAGCTCTAGCGAGGAATATCTCTTAGTTTTGCTGTCTTAGGATTTGTCTCCTACCTTATATAAGAATTTTGTATGTCAGCATAGCTTGTTGTTAAAGATCCATTCTATTTTGAGAGAACGGGATGCAAGCGGATGGGTGAGTGAGAGAGGAAGAGACAGAGAGAGAAAAGAGAAATAAAGAGAGAAGAAAGGGACAGGGGAGAAGAGAGGGCTTAGCAAAAGCTCACTTTCATTCAGCCTGACTTTAAACCGCTATCCAGGCTCATGCCAAAATGAGGCAGGACTGGTGTCCTTCTGAGTGAAGGAGAGCTCACGTCCCCATTCACAGCTTTCTGCTGCAGTGCTAAAATGAAAACATCACAATAGCAAGGTTCTCTTCAATGGCAGGCATAGCGAAGATGAAAAAACTGTTAGTCATGTGTTTTGTGTGTAGTCTTCATATTATGTGAGTTAAGTGCTGGTTCCTAGAGCAGGGTGGCTGATAGAATGCAATTTAATAAAGGCAAGTTTTCACAAATTGCACTTATTTTACAGTCAAGTTGAAGATCTCAGTAACAATAAAGGTCAAAAAACCAGCTGCACAGATGATTGGACTTGTAAAACATCTATTCAAAAAATTTATTCATATTATTATATTTTTATTTTATATTTTTTAATATATTATTTAAATAACATTATTTTTTCAACAGAAGGTGTACATAATACATGATAAAAAAGAATATATATAAAGAATATATGTGACCCTGGACCACAAAACCAGTCATAAGGGTCATTTTTTAAAATTGAGATTAGGATAGGACAATATTTGGCTGAGATAAAACTAAAATCTGGAATCTGAAAAAATATTGCGAATACATAATTACATTTGATTATTACTAATCAAAAATTAAGTTCTGATATATTTACGGTAGGAAATTTACAAAATATCTTCATGAAACATGATCTTTACTTAATATCCTAATGATTTTTGGCATAAAAGAAAAATCGATAGGCTAATTTTGACCTATACAATGTATTTTTGGCTATTGCTACAAATATACCCGTGCAACTTATGACTGGTTTTGTGGTCCAGGGTCACATATATTCTTTATATATATTCTTTTTTATCATGTATTATGTACACCTTTTGTTGAAAAAATAATGTTATTTAAATAATATATTAAAAAATATAAAATAAAAATATAATAATATGAATAAATTTTTTGAATAGATGTTTTACAAGTCCAATCATCTGTGCAGCTGGTTTTTTGACCTTTATTGTTACTGAGATCTTCAACTTGACTGTAAAATAAGTGCAATTTGTGAAAACTTGCCTTTATTAAATTGCATTCTATCAGCCACCCTGCTCTAGGAACCAGCACTTAACTCACATAATATGAAGACTACACACAAAACACATGACTAACAGTTTTTTCATCTTCGCTATGCCTGCCATTGAAGAGAACCTTGCTATTGTGATGTTTTCATTTTAGCACTGCAGCAGAAAGCTGTGAATGGGGACGTGAGCTCTCCTTCACTCAGAAGGACACCAGTCCTGCCTCATTTTGGCATGAGCCTGGATAGCGGTTTAAAGTCAGGCTGAATGAAAGTGAGCTTTTGCTAAGCCCTCTCTTCTCCCCTGTCCCTTTCTTCTCTCTTTATTTCTCTTTTCTCTCTCTGTCTCTTCCTCTCTCACTCACCCATCCGCTTGCATCCCGTTCTCTCAAAATAGAATGGATCTTTAACAACAAGCTATGCTGACATACAAAATTCTTATATAAGGTAGGAGACAAATCCTAAAACAGCAAAACTAAGAGATATTCCTCGCTAGAGCTCACACTTACCATTCAGCTTCTCATTTAGAATTCTATAACACTTTTAAAAACCTGATTTGCAGATGTATAGACCATTCATGGGTATAGAACGAATTTTAAGGTGTTTTGAAGGTTTGATGTGAAGTTTTATTTGACTTTCTCTTGCTGATAATTTCCTAATTTCCTTAAGTCCCTTTTCTATCTCTCTTTACCAGCAATCCCAGCCCATGGATAAAAAATGTAAAGAGAGATACAATTCCTTTTTTAGTGGAGGGGAGATGAATATATGGAGTGAGGGAGAGGAGGAGGGGTGGAGAGGGGGATGGGCTCTGCTCAGAGGAGGAGGGGAACAGAAGGGACCAGCAGCTGGATAGTGAGGAAGAGTCTTCAGCCAATACAATGGCTGACAGGAGGCTGAGTCTGCATTCACAGCTATACGTCCAGGTGTTTAAACGTGAGAGCGATTTGTGACGTCGGCTGTAAAGGAAAGTTATTTCAAAGGTGGAGCAGATTGATAAAAGATGAGTCACGTTTTTGTGTGTGTTCTGTAGCATGCCAACCTTGGTTACCACTTTTATTATATGGATAAAAGTTAAATGCAAGTAAAGTGAATAAGGTTTTTGCGTTTTGTGAACCATGGAAGACAGTTTGAGACTTGGCCTCTCAGTACGAATGCACTGGTTGGCTGAGAGAATGTCATAAATGCATAAACATACAGCACTACTCTGCTCCACATCTTCTGTCACAGGAGAGGAAAAGCCCCTTTATGTCCATATCAGGGATGAAAGAAAACTTCAGAAAGGAGGAGGGAGCTTTTACGTTTAAAATAGCTGCACCGTTCACCACTCGCCCACATCTCCCTGTTCCCATAGAGCGCGTGGGTTTGACAGACAGGTCTGTTCTCAGCTGGACTCGGAGCGCAACAACAGGGGAAAACACAAGAGCTGCTAAAGTCCATGAATTACACATTCAAATCTGAGAGAAACACTCTTACCGTTTCAAAGTACCAGAAAGTTATTGGCATCTATAGGTCCATGAAGAACCCTGGAACAGGTTCTTCGTGGGGTAAAAATCGTTTTCCTTGCACATGGCAATGCAAATGCAAATGCACTGATAATATAGCTGTGGTGCAATTAAGTAGAATGAATCATCAGGGCATCTTTTGGTGCTGGTTTTTAATTTGGTCCAGAGTTCAACACATTCTAGTACAGTATATCACGCATATGCCCAGAGATTGTAAAACATAAAATATAGGCATCAAGGGCTTTAAAACGGGCCAAATTTATTTCCAGAAAATTAAGAATCTGTTCCAGAAAATTAAGAATCTGTAAGAGCAAGCATAACAAATAAAAACCAAACAAGCCACTAAGCAAATGTAAACAGCATCTCGCAAGCAAATTCTTAATGAAGATTCAAATCAAACCTCGTAATGAAGTAATTTTAACATTTAATATGTGCATAATTGTCAGGATAATCATTTCACAAGTTCACCCTTA